TATTGTCCCTTGTGAAACATCTACTTGACATTACATTTACAATAATAAACATTAAGTCTACATTTGATTTATATTGAACTGATAGTCAGAAACTGTAGCAAGGTGCTGTGCCTGGAGGTTTGCAGGCAGAAGTAAAAATACAGCACACATGGAGGGGAAAGAAAAGATTAAAATATTCATGTTGAAATTTACTTTCTTACAGTTTTCAGCTCCAAAGGCTGTTCAGTACTTCCTGTGCTGCTGCACTGGTGATGAGCTAAGCTATTGTGGCCATGGCTGCAGAATTAAGACACAGACAGTGTTGAGATTACTATGATTTCTGTAACTGGTAAATCATGATAATCTGGGGGGTCAGTACAGCCTTAGTCAGAATGAAGAGCGTTGGATAACAGGTGAACAAATTTATATGCATTTAAAATGCAGGATGTGATGCTGCATGTCTGTACTGATAGTTGGGGTATTTTATTTGTTTATGAAGTGCTTAGGGGTCTGTTTCAGTAGACCGCAGCACTACCAGATTCTGTCTGCAGTAGAGTGCAAACATCTTATTGATTACAGTGACAGTTTTTTCTGATGGAAGAACTGGAAGTCAATGGGAAGGGAGTGTTTTGAAGACAGAAATTGGTCTATAATTCATGAACTGATAACTGTCCAATTATTAGAACATAGTGAAGGAGAGAAATGGCTCTGTGTTTGATGACTTCATGTAGTCACACAATTTCCAAATGCATGTTTCTTTCCCTGAATGGCTCTAAAGCTGACAAAGACGTGCTTTGTTTCTGCCTTGTAGCAGGAATTATTCCTCTAAATAATATTTTGAAGAAACAAATATTCCACAGAATTACCAAATTTTCAGTGTATTCAGATTGTGCAGTGGCTGTTGCCAAGCACTCTCCTGAGTGGTTCCAAAGGATAAACTGAGAAAAGTAATTTAATTGTATAGTAAATATGAACAGTTTAATTTAGTGAGCACTTGGCATTTTAAGGTATGTCTGTGTAGTCCTACTGTTTTAAGAGGAATACTCAGAAGTTAAAGCTGTATGCATCTTCTCTCTTGTTGCATTGTAGCCTGAAGAAAAAATGGATAAAAGCTTTTATCCCTTGATGCTACAGCTAACTAAAAATTTGAAAAAGGCTGACTTCTCAAAAACCCGAGCCCTAAAAAAAAGCATTTTAAAAAACCCCCCCAAACCTGTCTGGTCAAAACCAACCACCAAGATTCCAAGATTAAAACTTAAGTAAAGCAACGAATACAAAAAAGAAGCAATAAATAGCCCAAATCTACGACTGTTGTCAGTTGTCTCTTTCGTTTATGACTTCTTGTAGATCTGCTCTGCTGGTCAGTTATTTCTGCTGCTTGGTAAAAAGTTGGGACATTTTGAATGGTATCTTTTATGTGTCAGGGTGTGTTTAAAGTGACTCAGTCATATCGGAATGATCAGAGTATCTAATATTTAGGACTGTTTCAAGAGACATTGTAGCTTCCATGTGCAAGCAGTTTCACATAATCAAGGTTGTGTGAGGTATTGAAGAAAATGTAATTCAGGTGGTCAGACTTCAAAGACCAGTTGTGTGTGTTCCTTACACAGAGACAGGCTCCTGCTGAGTTAAGCTCCTGCTCTGACACATTGTCTGTAGACAAAACCAGGAGTCCAGAGAGTTAAGCTTTCTAAAATTCAATTTGTGCTTAAAAATAGGTGGTAGAAACATTATTGTGGTTTAGATAACAACAAGCAGGCCAAGCTTGCTAAATAATAATTCACCTGAACACTGAAGTGACTCAAAACCTAACTGGCTTTTCAAAGCTTGGTTCTTCGATGAACTGACCACCTTACAGGATCATCACAGGGAGAAGATACGTGTCTTATGTTCCAGTACACTAAGTTTATGCTTGGACACATGCAAGTTCTTTTAGGTAGAAGATCAGGTGTGGTTGGGCCTGCAAAGGCAATTTTAAATCGAAATATAAAATATAGATTTCTTTGTTAAACTTCGAATTTGTGACCAAGTGTTAGGCTGGTGTGCTAGTACCCAGGTGGCTTGAGCTGAGTTTTTCTTATATGAAAATTCAAAGGCAGAGATTGCCTGACTGCTTTGCTATTGATATCCCTTTGTCTTCTCTCAATGGGATGTTTATTCGAGATATAGAGAAAGCTGAACCTTTTTTTGTCTCCTGATGCTGTTTTCTTGAGTCAGGTTTTGATGCTCTTAATTAGACACTGTCACTTTGTATTAGAGATGGTCGCGCTTGTGAGCTCCATGCATGATGAAATGAGTAATATCTAATTGGACTTTCATATGTCAGCAAATAGATTCTGTATTTATGCTTCCTCAGTTTGTTAGGATCTTACTTGTCCTTCATAAGTCCTCAAAATACCTTGAATCCTTATTCAAGGTATAGCTGTCTCATCTCTTATTTGCTCTTTTCCTATTAAATAATCTTCACCTTTGCCACCTTCTCATGATACTGAAGGAACGTTTTTCCTATTATCTCTGATATTCCTTCCTAGTAATGGCTCCCTTTTAACCTTCGTTTTTCTAACTGTATACCTATCTAGTTGTATAATACCTTCCCATTCCTCCTTTATGTTCTTTTTAGATTTTTAAGTTCTTTAAAGAGTCATGCCAGGTCTCTGTCCTCCATGGTAGGCTCTTTTGCCTTTGTCTTTTTAATATAGTCTGTTTTGATAACTGCAAATTCTCCTGCACTACATTTTCCCTTAGAATTTCTTCCCAAAAGATTCAGCTTACTAATTCCCTGAACCTATTGATTTTTGCTGTTCTTATTGCACTGTGCCTTGCAATAGAGAACTCAGATAATTTCTGGGTTTTCACCCTCCTCAAATTTCTGTTTTCAAATTCTTCTCCTTATGAGTTAGAATCAAATTCGTGGCACCAGTTCCCTGAGTTCTCTGCCCTCTGGACAAATGAAATTGTCCCTGAAACACAGCAAATCCCTTTTGGGCAGCTTGTATTGTCCAGATTTTTTTCCAGATATAGTTTGGTCATAAAATCTGGCTTTACTGTTTTGTCCTTTGGATTTACTAGCTATAATTGAGCTCAATTTTCCTCTTTCTTTACTTGCTGGTAACTTGCGCTCTGCAAGAAACCCATTCAATGATACTGTTCTTTAACTTTCTGGAGAAAGAGGAAAATGCTTAGGGCTAGATTTACAAGGAGTGAGTCATCTTTCACTCAGTGTTCTTACAGTTCCACAGACAAGAAAGCCCAGAAGGAAAAGAGCGTCAATATTATTTCCAAACCTATTTCATAAAGGGGAGTTTGAAACACAGCAATTGTCCAAAGGTCGTTCTTGATGTCTGAGGAGGATTTGAGAATTGCTTAAATCTCCTTAATTCCAGTTCAGTGTCTAAGTGACAGGCAGTTTTTTCTCATAATTCATCTATCTCTAGTCAATTTTTTAACAGTTACTCAGTTTCTTTCTCATCTGATTTTGATATAATCTAATTAATTATTTCACAGTTAGGGGATTTTAACCCTTGCTGAAGAATAAATTGCCTTCTTTAGGGTTTCTTTGGAAAGACAGATTGTCCAAAGAAGGTAAAAATGGGAGGGAGGTTTAAGTGAATCAGAAATGGTAATTCTGCTTCAAATGTTTATATAGCAAATTTTCCTGTCCACAAACATTTCAGATACATGTATGGATGGATGGATGAAGGTATGTATTTAATTGTATATAATTGACTAATGATTTGCTATCCATTGGTTTAGGTAATAGTGATATATGTTGTTTATCCAGTTATGGAACAGTCTTAGATGTGAATAATGTATTCTGATCCTTGCTTCTCACAGTTATCAAGTGGAAAGAGAACAGACTGCAGGGCCGCAGCTCCCAGGGTCAAGGTTTCATCCCAGTAGGAAGGGTGGAAGGAGAGGAATATTCACAGATTTCTGCTGCTCACAATGTCAAATCCTGCACAGCCCTCAGTCAGCTGCATCCTTTGCTCCTACACTTATCTCTAGAAGGAGCTATCTTGCATTCATACCAAATCAACTTGGTTTTCTTTTCTTTTTTTGATATTCTATTTTTCTTTTAAAGATTTTACACATAACCCTGCCTCTTTCAAATGCCTTTGGTTCCCTTCCCAAGCTTCTTAAACCCAGAGATGCCACACAGCAAAAGGAGCCCTGCCAACTCACATGCTCTGAGTACCTTATGTAGAGGGGAGCCTGTTTCACTTTTGAATGTTGGTTGATAGATAAAACTATTGAAGCTATTTTCTAAACCCCTTGAAACTGCTCTTTATAGATACTCAGCTGGTCTTCCTGTACATAAGTAATAATATCTATGAGAAACACACGAAGAACTGCCGAGAAGATCGAAACCAGCATTTTATTCCCAAGCAGCACTAAATTTTTCTCATAAAACTACCAAAACATAAATAATTAAAAAAGTAATTTCCATTTCCATTATTCAGAATTAAACAGCAGCAGAAGTGGGAAAGAAGGGGACCAGAAAAGAAAGCAGGCAGAGGTGGTAATAAAAACTGGTGACTGACAGTAGTGGCCAAAGCAAGCTAATCAGAGAGATCTCTCAGAGTTCCTGGTACATAATGCACTGGTTTTGTTTTTCCACAGTAGAATTTCTGCTGAATATTGGCTGACAAATGTGCCATTGGCTTGTGTAACTGCTATTTATTATTTGTCATGCAGCTTGGGGATTGCAGCTATAGGCTAAGCCCTTTTTTTGCCTGGCAGCATACCAACTCAAAGCAGAAGGATAATTGCTTCCACAGAGAGGTTAAAATAACACAAAGATAACATAAATAACATATAGATGCAGACAGATACGTAAACTGTTACCTAATTCTGGGTAGCAAGGTGTCTACTGGTCAGCTAGCCTGTATAGAACAAAACACAGTATTAAAGAAGTTAAACATGATATCCTAAATTCAGAACTCTTCATAGCTGTGTTGGAGCAGATCAGGGACCAGGTAACAAAGATAAGGAACACTCTTCTCCCTTTCTGTTTTTTCTAGGAATAATAATTTGCCTGCCCATAGCAAGGTTTCCTCAACAGTGGTTCAGCTGTACCTCGTGAGTACCTTACTCAAGGTTTACTCAAGCCTTTTTTATTGCTTTTCTCCTCTATAGGGATGTGGAGTTCAGTCGAAGTCTAGGAGAAAAAGATGTGTAGTTGTATCTCAGTTTCATGCGGTGGTAGTTTATATCAGGAAAACTGAAACTTCTCAGGCCTGGTATGTATTCAGTTCTTTTACATAATTCCCAAGGTTTAATACAGTAAAACATGTAAGTTGAGCAATTAAATTAATGAATAATGTCACTGTTGTTTCAGTAACATAAGGTAAAGAGGCGACAGTTGTGGAATGATTCATTTCTGATGCACACCCACAAATTATCATTCCTTGTTCTTGATTTTGTGTGCATAATTTTGCACTTCAACAGAGAATGGCCTCTTCACTGCATGGCAGAACTGTGCTAAGAAGTTTGCTTCTGCTTCCTAATGTCCTTTAAGAGATAAATGATCAAGGGCTCACAGTTCTCAGTGACATTTAAATGATGGATATTGCAAAAGTGCAGTAAGGTCCAGAAAGCCTGCTTAGGTTTCTGCAATCTGGGAGTTGCAGTGCTTAAAGAAATGAGACTTTGAAATGGGGTGGTTGAAGGTCAGGAAATTTTCCACTATGGTAGAATAAGACACTTGAATCCTGCACATGATGCAGGCTCAGACTAGAGCTTGCTAAATAGTGGGGACCACCAGCTGTAGGGTCTGTCTCAATACTAGCGCCGCGAGCTGCATGCTGAGTGTTCCTCTGTTCTGCAGATTCACAGACTAGACTCCTTTCCTGCAAGTAACAGACTACCTTTTGTGACATACGTATAGTTAAACCCCTCAGTATGTGAGAAGACAGGATGCCAGCTCCTGCACCTTTGCCTGTTAACTGTACAGAAGTGGACCAAAAGCCAGAACTAGTCATACAAGACAGTATTCCTAGTCTCCCTTTGTGTCTCAGCTGTAGGGCTGTATTCTTCTTGGCTTGCTTGCTCTCCCCTGTCCTCCTAATACTCATGCCCTTGGCTGCAGAGTGAGGTATCCATGGCAGGTCTGGAGGCATCCTGGGCTTCTATAGCTTGGTGAATGAATGAGTCCAGCAAAGCTGGATGGATCCTTCTAGTCATGAGGGCAGTGGCTCTCCAACCTTAACTTGCAGAGGAAATACTTTTCCTACTAAGCCACAATGCAGTCTGGGCACCAGCACCAATCTCAGCTGTCACCTGTGAATAGTGTTGCAGTGGTTATTTTTGTTTTGAAATGTGAAATGCTGGCTGTGTATCTCAGCTCTTTTTTGAGCACTCCAATGGAATTTTTTGTATTTTCTACCTTGTCCCTGAATCCCAGGTCTGGGACAGGGGTATGAGCCCTCTTCCTAATCTTCGGTGCTTTTATGGCAGTGTTAGTTTAAAATTTACAGAGCATTTCAGTGCAACATATTGGAACTGAATTGGTTTGGATGGACCAGATTTAGCTGGTAAATACTTTGACATTTAATGTGTGCGGTTCACATTTTACTGCAGATTAACTGCCACCAGTTCCCACATCAGCTCAGATGTATGTTCAGCAGTCTTTACTGTGACTGCACCATAGATATATTGCACTTTCCAAGAGGAAAGAATAGTGTTTTCCTCCTCAGCAGCGTTGTAGTGAGGTAAGAAACATTGTTAGGTGTGTTGGTACACTAGTAAAGAGTAGCTGGATGAATGCTAGCATAATAGTGAGCAGTAACTAGGAATCTCAAGTCTTAGCAATTTTACCTTGCTACAAACAGACACTAAAGTCTATCCCAAGGTCAAATTGGATGTGGGTAAGTGGGAGACAGTGGAGCAAATGGACTGTACAGCTGCACTCCAGACCTGTTGGCTACAGACATAAAACTTGGAGCCATTTTGCCACAGACTGCATGTCTGTTTTCAGATGAGAAATTAAGAAGGATTAGAATGGCATGCGTTCTTACATGAGTGCCATCATGCCATACATACATATACATGCAACATTCTTACATATGCATCTAGAAAATTACATATTTTTAGTATGTTTATGTATTAAATATATAAAGATGTTCTGAGTGTATGAGGTTCTCTTGTCTTTGGCTTTTTTAATTTTGATTTTGCTCTCTGATTGCCTTTGGAGTATCTGCAGGGTTTTCTTGCATTTGCAAGGAATTTACATTTTAAATTGTATGTGATGTGCTCTTTCCACTACTCTAATTTCTAAATGTCATTTTGATTATTAGAATCCTTTTGACGTAAGTCAAGGTGCTTTGCTCCTTTCTAGCCACACAGCTTCTGTTTTCCCCCCAAATCTATTTACTTTCCAGTATGCTTCAGTAGCCCTTTCTATAGACATTTAATTTTCAGTTGTTACCTGCAGACTAGTTTATTTTGTCTAATTATTTCTCCTTGTTAATCTTTACATTTTAAGGGAAATGGGAATACAAGTGCTATGTGGATTTCTTACATTCTGAAGTTTATTCAGCTCTTCACTGAAAACAGCTCATTCTTTTCCAGCACTTGCTCTTCTCCAAGGTGAGCTGGAGGGGATGGAGACCGTCCCTGTCGCCCTGTTGCAGCTTGGCTGTCCTACAAGGAGCCCTGCACAGCACCAGCCTCCAGCCCAACTCTTTAATCTTCAGCTTTTCTATTTCAAGTTTCTGTGTAATGTTTGTTCCTGGCCACCATCGCTCACAGGCACTTTGATCCTTGCAAAACCTCTGGACAAAGAACAAATAAATAGAACACCATCACAGGCACTATCACTGTTTCTTAATGACATTGAACAGCTTTTCTAAAATTAAACAAGTGTCTTGCACAATTTAGTTAGCCCAGAAGCTAACCTAGACTTACTTCCTATTAACCCAGGCAGAGCTTCAGAAGGTTCATGTCAGATGTTACTGGCTTGTAGCCACCTACCTTGTTGTTGTTACCTTCTTGCCATTCTTTGTCTACATCCTTAGAATTTAATTTACATGAAACATACATTGTGACACAGAATTTTATTACAAATAGTTCTTAGAGGTGCTTGAGTGTTTTCTGCCTTTACCCAACTAAGCACTAATACAGATTCATAGGTGTAGGCATTATTGGGGCTGGTATATACTCTCTTGGGTGTGAGTCTTTGTAACTGCTAATTGTATTCTGATGAAATACTTGTGACTGGGATTCGCCTTTGGGAATAAGTCCTGTTATGGGAGCTTTAGAGCATAGACTGAATCAAATGGAATTTTACTTAGCATTTCAAAATGGCACTATTAATGATGGCATGGAAATGTTGTATTTTACACACAGTGGGTTACAGAAATTTACAGAAGGAAATGCTCTTTCTGCTGGAGAAACAGAGATAAGGAAGATATAAAGTCTTGTCAAGTCCTTATTCTGAAAAATTCAGATTTATGCCATATATGAACATAGCCAGTAACTATACTATAAACTGTAACTATTTCTCTTCTACTGGATGTAATTATTCTCTCCAGTGCAGTTAAAAGTGCCCTCAATATTTTGTAACCATAAACAGCAGCAGATTCTATGCCCAGGGTTGCTTTTGTGGTTGGACTGCCTTTAATATTTAATATATGTCTTTGTTGGATTTCAGTAAAAATCAGTTTGTAGGAATGACTTATTATTGTTGTTTGTATCCCTATAATGTTTGCTTATATGCTCATTCAATTGACAACAATACCAGTTTCCATTACAAACAAGGGAGAGAGAAGTGGCTTATATAATGGTTCTTTTGTCCTAGATTTCATGTTAATGTGTCCTAAAGTTGTAAACTCATTTAGATAAACTATTTATATATTTAGCTTTTGATTGTTGTACACAGCTGTTGAATTTCTTCCTGTCTTCTCAAGTAAGGCAGTGTTCTGTGGGAGAGTGAGTTTCAGAGTCTGGCTATTGAAAGAAATTCACTTTAGTTATGTGGACAAGGGGAAAAGAAAGTTGCGAACTCTTGTTAAAGAACGATGTTACGGAGTGCTTCTAGTTTACAGAATGTACAGTTGTACCATGAATTAGTAGACATTGTGCTTGTGTTTGATTAACAGTTCCTACTAGATTTTCCACTACCTGTGGGGATACCAGTGTTGTGTCTGTTATCACTATTCACTGCCAAATAAGAAAAGCAAAGCATGTACAATGGACCCAGGACAATTGAGCAGAGCTGAATTGGCAGCACTGCAAGCTCACGTCAGGCTGCCTGCCAGGATGGAGAGCAGGGACAGACAGGCAGCTCACCTGAGCTGGCAAATAGTAGATTGCAGCACAGCAGCATGCTGGTAACAAAGCACCTGATGTTTCTTTCTCAGGAACAATGACTTAATGTATTTTCAGTCATTTAAGAGAGAGAAAGAACCATTTCATGCTTCTCATGAGCATCAAGCATCCAGTACAGCTTTTATATATATGTATGTCTGTAACTGTCTAGGACATACAGGTATTCTAAAGTTTGGGTTTGTTTCATTTATGAGGTCACTGCCTTCCTAATTTGAGCTTTTAACTAGAATCCCAGATGATATTGAAGAATTATTTCCTCTATTAAAAAAAAACGGGACCTGCTAATATTATTAATACCACTGATGTTATCCTTCCTTGAAGTGGCTGCTGGGCAGTGCTGGTGGTGCTGTACAGATACAGCTGCCTAGCAATCTCTGTGGTAAAGTTTTAGACTAGAGCTCTTGGCTAGTACCTCTTCTCATCTGGATTTTCTTTATTCTGTCACCAGACCATGTGTTAAAAGCTGTCTCATCCCTTTTGCCTTCAGGAGTGCTGGCAAGGGTGGGTGTCACCTGTCAAGTCTGACTTCTCGTTCTTAGTTCACCTTAACGGGTATTTTTGCCCTCTTCATTTTTTTCCTCTCTCTTTTGTTGTTGTTGTTGTACAGGAGAGAACAGAGGCTCTGGTGACTGTGAGAAAGTTCCTGATGTAGTGCCGTGGTCTCACTGGAGCATGGAGAGAGTCTGACAGGACAAGTGTAGACAGGCAGCTTGCACAAACAGCCATTGCAGAGATTTCATGAGGAAACACACAGAGAAAAAAGAGATGGTAAACACAAAGTAGTTAGTTGTCTTACTCTATTAATGTGTAATAACAGCAGCTGCTTCCTGAGGCATGGCTTTATTTAATAGAGTAATTTAGACTATTTTGAAAGCATATGCAATTAATATAGAATTTTTTTTTTGCCACCATGACATTACTTAAGGTGCCTAAATAAGAGCCTGAGATGTATTTTTAGCCTCTGAGAGAGTACTCCAACATACGCACTTCACTTTTTCATGTGCAAAATGCTTTGTCTGACATCTCTTCACAAGCTCACATGAATGTCTCCTTCCTCTCACTTTACCCCAGTAATTAATGTACTTTCTGAACCAGCAAGGTACGTTACTGTTATTACTGCTACATTTTAGGTATCCATGCCCAGTTGTGCTACACATTGCACAGATGCGTATTTTCAGAATGCTCAGGATTGGCTTTCGTGTGTACAGTTAGAGTGGAGTGTCCCCAGATTCTCTGAGGTTAGCAACCACTTGTTCCTGGAGTTTAGATCTCAGAAAGCTGTTTTTCTCTGCCTATTTCCCAAAACAGAATAGCAGATTACCACAGCACATACCCTGCTTACTGGTCCTTTCCTATTTATCTTTGTGTCTTTGTGTTTAAGGCACTGATATTCTCTCCCAGAGCCAATCTCTGTGATTTCTACCTAGCAAAGAATGCTGTGTCATGCCTCCTCCCTCCTGGGAGACCAGAAAGCGGAAGGGACAAGTACCCACACCAGGGAGCTGGAAAAACCTACAACCCCTATTTTAGATGTAATGCAAACATCTCTACTTACCAAATGGCTCTCCAGAGGTGACCCCGAATAAGAAGTAGCTCACAGTCGGAACAGTTTATGTCTCACACTGGCAAGATGTGCAAAGAGGATGTATGTTGGTGTGCTGTTCCAATTTATAAGAAAATGAGGCACAGAGCACTTAGGTGCCTTGTTCAGTGCCAGACTAAGTTTATTGCAAAACTAACAACACTAGGAGTTTTTTCCAAATTTCCTCAGTTTCAGTGATTGGCTTAATTCCTAACAACTTGCTTATTTTTCATTCATAAAACGCTATGAAAAAAATCATAGGCTGAATTACTTTTCACGTGTTTATTTACATTTGGGCACATGTTGTGGCATTAAACAGCAGACAACACTGCAGACTCTTAATTACCCTGGCAGGTGAGCTGACAGTAATTGCAGGACTTTCCAGAACTGACTCCTGTTTTAAGATCTCCTCCCTTACCCTTTCCTCTGCAGTTGCAGAACACTGTTTTTTCCATTTTTCATTACTGTGACATCTCACTGAAGACAGAGAAGTGACATTGCAGCTAATGGTGCTCTGAGGATTATCCGGCAGCTGAGAGGCTGATGGCCCCATCGCTCTCTTTCTAGGCGGAACAAGCTTCCAGAACCGTAGGAGAAAAAAGTCTCATGCATATCCAAGAGGCAGTGGGAGGTCTGCTCTCCTGTTTGCACCACAAATGGGTACACCACCTTTTGGGGGAAGAGATGAGCGAGAAGAGAATATACTTTTGAAATTTACTGCCCAGGTGCAAAATGAATGGGAAAAACATGGAATGCAAAATGAATTTTCTCATAACAGCTGTAGGGAAAGAATACACCTGCTGATGAATGCTCTTGTTTTGGAAGTGCAACGTTCCTTGTCAGCCCCGTGTTTTCAGCTCTCAAAAGCTCAAGAGAATTGCTGTGAATGATGTGCTAAGGATTTTTAGGAGCTATGCTCTTCCTAACATTTGCTTCTCTTCCTTATCTTGTGTGAGGAAAGATGCACACGTTATTTCAACCTCAAGAAAAATAGGCCACCTCATTTTAGCATTTCAAAACTAGATGAAAAGGAGATAGTTTAGATACTCTTTTAAGGCACACACATTAAAGATTCTCCTGAGATAATGAATCTGTCAGTGTTTTCATAGGTGGATGTAGAACATTATCTTTGTACAAGAAACTTTCAAAAGAAGTCTTCTTAAAATTAAAACAAAATTGTCAGCTAGAATCTCTACATACAGATGAGCCCATTGCTCTAAATGCAGCGCAGGCTCATCCTAACCTGGGTCTTTCCTGTGAGGGTCCTGGCACACAGCCTTCAAGACCCTCACTGAGGCAATAGTCAACTGCAGGGGGGTCAAAGGTCACAGGTCACTGCTGTCTTGGATGGGGTGAAGCCTGAAAGAGTGTGGGGAGCTCCTCAGTCCCATCATTTGTTGAATAAGGAAAAGAAAAGCCCTGACATGCCCAAATACTCCAGGCAGAGAATGAAAAGGGCTGCTTCAACTAAGCTGAATTTACATGTGCTTTTCCTGCTCTCTGAAGATATTTCAGCTTAAAAAAAACAGATTAAAATGAATGAAACAAAGTTCAATTTTTTAGTTGGGATCAATCTGTCTATATGGTCTTTTGTTCTATATGAACAAAATGTTCATGTCCTCTTAAACACTGACAACCAAATCCTGCCTCTGGTGAGGAATCACTCTGACCTCACGCTGCAGCCTGCACAGGTGAGATAAAGAAGCTTGCAGCAAAGAGTTTGCATTTTATTTCTTTTTGAACTGAAGTAGAAAGTCTTCCTTTTGTGGAAATAAGTTTCTGAGACATCTGGGCTGCTGAGCCCTTTCTCAAGGACTAGAGGTCTCTACTGTGGAAGCAGGCATGAAGGTTTGGCACTGCACCATAGGGCAGAAAGTACAGTTAGTGAGATAAATTGTTTAAAACTATTAAAATTAGGTTGTTGTTTTGTTTTTTTATTTTTCAGGATATTGGAACTTACTCCATTTAGAAAATCTCTGGAAAATGGAAGAGTGAATTCACAGTAAAGGTAAGAAAGCTTGGCCATGATGTTAGTAAGAAAAACAAGTCTGTGTTTTCCAATCACAATTAAGAAATCCTGATGCTTGTGTGATTTTGAGCACTGGAAAATAAGGTGTAATCTTGCACTGGAAAGCTTGTGGGCTTGTTAAGGAAGTCATTTCTATCTTACTAAATTTGCAAAACTGAGAAATTGTGCAGTACAAGCTTGCCTTATTCAGTAGGTTAAAGTATGTAACTTTACTCCTGGTTAAAGCCATTGGATAGGCAGCATGCATTGTTTTGTTTCATTTGTTAAGATTATTAATGACCAATATGCAGGCATTCTAGATTGCAGGCTTGTTTTGCACTTCAGCCAACGTCAAATGCATTTTCCATGTGCTGAGATGCTGCGGTTGAGAGAGTGGGACCCATGTGCTGCTGCCATTTTTTATTCCCTGAATTGGTGGGAGTCACCCAGAGTAGCAGTGGGGAAGTTTTTAGGCACATTTCTATGTGTTTTTACTGGATAAGAGTGTACCAAGAGTATATCTTAGCTAAAGAGATGTGCTTCGGTTTAATCAATAGATAGATAACATGGAAACTTTTACTGAGCTGACTGTATCTATGAAGAAGCCAGAGCATATGTGCAGTGCTGCACAGGCAGGGAATTGTAAGCATAGACCACTGAAGTTGGGATCCTTTCTTAGTTATGCTTTCTTTTTTACTTCATTATGCTTTCTTTCACTGCTGTTGCCTTTTACAGTGTTTTGTGGGATGTGAAAATCATGAAATTCAGGCTCAAGTGGGCATTTCATTGAGAATTTAAATCCATACTGTTGTGCTGCCTATCCTAACGCCCTGTTCATGCCACAGTGTTGCCAATGGGCAAGCATGGAACTGCTGGGAACAGTGTCGTAGTGTCCTATAAAGCAGAGGACCTGTAAAGATGCGTTTCATTTTTAATGGGATGTCAATCTGTGAATTTGTGGATGTCTCTGATAATCTCATCCTTGTTCATTTGGGAAATCTGCCAAAATGTATGGCCAGTTGCCTCCCCTGGGATTGCTGTCATTGGTTTTGTTTGAAGGGATATGGAATGGGATGGGTATTTCCAAACACCTGCCAAACAGGGCTGACGTGGAGGAGACACCCCCAGAAAAGTCACATTTTCAGGACTTAGTTTTGAAAGAATTAGGGTCTAGAACATGGAGATTTTCTGAAGACTGAATTTGCAAATCCTGTAGTATCACCTTGAAGTGATATTTTATACTGTGACATTTGTTGCTGCTCTAGCTTTCCCAGTGACTGTATAAATTGCTTTTGCAAGCAGAAATTTATTGCATATACACAATGCAGCTCTCTTGATTTTGCACCTCCATCACTCCCTCAAATCCTCCCCAAAACAGCTGTTGCTATAAAGTGATATGTCATTTGTTCTTGAACTTTTCTTAATGATTGTGATGGCATTTCTAATATTTCTTAGAGGCAAGTGCAGCAGGTGCTGTTTCACTAAGTCAATGAAATACATTTTACCACACCAAAAAAATCCAGCTATGAATTCGTAATTGTTGTTGCTTCCCTTGTTCAGCTGCAGAGCCAGTCATTCTGGTCAGTCTGTTCCCCATTCCTAAATCCCAGGATCCTAGTGGGTTTTGTTGTGCGTGTTGAACAAGTATCTCGAGACTTGAACAATTTTGGTAGACTAAGTTGTCAGGAGACATTTTAATTTATTTCTGTGTTCTGTTTTAAATTCTCCTCCTTGAGTAGCCTTTACGCAGACACAACATACTCAACCCAGATGGATTTTCTATGAGGCATATTTGGGTTTCCTTTCTGCTATAGCTTACTTAAGGTGAGATCTGTCATTCTGCTGCATCTGTTGTGGTTTTTTACTGTTTTTCTGATTCTTCCTGAACAGATCCATAGAAAAGGATTCAGGTAAATTTCCTCCCAGCTTTATTTTCTTTTGCCTTCTACTGAAGCAGTGAAACAAAATTAAAATATCTTATACATGATTTCTACCTTAGACAAAGCTCAAGTAAGATGTCAGAGGCCATATTTTCTTTGACCTTGGCCCCACCCTTTCTTCACCATTCACATCTTATGAAAAATGCTGTACTCCAAGCCAGTACTAATTTTTTCATTAATCACAACACCAATTATATGAAGTTTGTTTTTAATATCACAGCTTAGCCTCTCCATAATTTTCCTTATGCTTTTGAAAAATCAGAATTGTTCTTATCGGTCACTCTACTTTTACACATGTAGCTTCTGTGAAAATATATGCAGTCATCTGTTTTAAAGAACAAAATAACAACTCTGTCTCTGCAGAACATTCATAAATATTCAGACCTTATGCTTCTGCCACGATCTGCTGAATTAGTCATGGGTCATTAAGTCAGGGTTTGAGGAGCTGCACATGTTTGGACATGGAGTTTTAATTTGATCCATTATAGTAATTTAAGCCATCCTTGAAACTGTGATCTGGATCCATATCTAAATTCTGAAAATGTTACAGTCCCATCAATGCTAAAGTTATTAAATGAGACACATTTTGGTGTTTGAGATGCCTGTCAGTTGCAACTGCCACTACGAAGCATTAACATCGTGATATCTTTTCCATGAGCCATTTATAAAACAACCACAGCCGTAAGCATCATGCTCAGGGACAACCAGAAAGCCAGTAACAGAACAGTATTTAATAGCTGTGTGTTTAATTTTGTGTGTTAATTACCACAAAAGCGTTGCTGAAATTAATGTCTGTTGCTAAGGCAAACCCCAGAAGTTGTGCAGTTTAAACTGATTCAAGTAAGCTTAGGAGTAGCCTGTGGGAAATGCAGCAGCTGTTACTAAAATTGTTTCAGTTTTGAGAAGGGGCCTTTGAAGTCTCAGAGATACGACTTTAATAGATTTGAGGAAAAATAATTACAGGGAGCAGTGATTTCCAGCTTTGTTTTAGCATACTTGTGAAGCATCGAGTCTGTACAGTCATCTAGATCTTCCCAAATTAAATCAGATACTAAAATGTCTGGAGTCGGAGAAGACCATCAATTATTACATTGTCTCTGGAGAAAGGAGTGTCTGGTAGAAGATTCTTACTTCATTTGGCTGCTGCTGATTCATCCAGGTGATGTTATTTGAATTTACACTGGAATTGAACCTGGAACTGCAACAATAAAATGTTTGCTCAAAAAAAGGGAGAAAGTACGTGGAAAATTGTATTTTATGACAATGAGACAAATGCCTATAACTGAAATTGTTGCAGGAAATACAAGCTTTTAGAAAAGAGAAAAAGAGAGAAGATACTGAATTGGATCTTGAATCTTTTAAACTTAAAATTCTAAACAACAACCCTGAGAATTTATGACTGCATCATTTTGCATATCTCAAACCAGCGTTTCCTTGTCCCACAAATAGAAACTTTATTTGGTATTGATTAGTCTTTTCTATTTCTCAGTGACTCAGATTCCTTGTGTATATCTACATCTATCTAGCTGTCTCAGGACATGTAGTTTCATTCTTGAAAGTGCAGGTAAGTTCACTTGCAAATATCACAGTGGAATTTAGAAAGTGATGTTTACCCATGTCAGCCATGCAAAAGCACTCAGAACTGGCTATCTCTATGTTCAATGAAGTCAGTGGTAAAAACCCCCCACAAAATACATTCTGTAAGATCTTGATGGGCTTGTAATTTATGTCAATATATGATTTGTTTTAGTGATGAGTTTATGGATGTTGGAAAATTAGGATAAATTCAGACCTATGATTCATGCATAAAGTGCATGGTGTAAGTGCAAGAGGCCTCAAGGAAGGAAACTGCAAAGTATCCTTCTGTGTTCACAAATGAGTGATGTTATCTTGCTTTTCAATTTCTTCAACTATCCTGATTTAGTTTTGACAATTCAATTGATAAAAGAAAATTGCTCTGTTTTAAATTTGCTGTTTAGCCTTTGTTCACTGAGGATATTAAAAAGAAGCTAGCTGTGTTGCAGCATTCAGTCTTCAGCATTAAGAGTATTAGTATGTTTCTTTGGTCAAAGTTGTGCTGTAGTGAGTGTCATGCCAATGTTTCTCATGTGTTCCTTGTACTCTGATGAATGAAACTGCTATGGCAACTTTATATCAGAAAAGACTAGAGCTGCTGCCTGTATCTACACATAGTAAGATGCATAAAGGTGTTCTTTTATGCCCACTCTTCCATGTTGAGCCTGGACAGAGCTTTGCCTTTCTTTTTCTATGGGCTTTATTCTGTGAGACTTGATTCAGTTGTTCCTGATTACTGAGATAACTGTTCAGATGATTGTTCAGATTATTCATATAGCCTAAAACCAGAATCTGGACTGCTTTCATCCCTTTTCTGAGAGGTCTTAGAGGATCACTCAGAGAAAAATGGGTCACATCTCAGAAGATACTTAATGAGGCAGATATTGACCCAGTCCAGGGGGAAAAAAATAAACAAAAAATGGAACCCAAAGCAGCCATCCAAAAGAGAACATTCTCCAGTCAGTATTAGAAGCAAACCTTTCTTCTCCTTATACCAACTGTTAAATAATCCGTCACTCACGTTAAATAGTAAATTAGCTTTTAGCAACGCCATCAGTAAGGTACAGCAGTTTCACTATTTTCAAAATATGAACAAATCCATACATCCAAGAATTTTGGTAGATTGGAGGTTTAAAAAATTGAAAATGAAATTGTTGCCTAAAATTGAATTTCTGCATTATAATAAAGAAAAACTTCATTGATAACATATGTCTCAAATCTTTAAATGGTCAGTGAGCAATACCGATCAATTGCAAGGTGTAAGGACTGAGTGGAGTGATGTATGTATTCATGCAGTGGAGGAGAGGGTTTCTGCAGTAATGGCCTCAGAAATAAACCTTGCAAAAGCTCTACAGTGCATAATTTTACATTTAAATAATTAATTCTGAGACTGGCACCATGGAGAAGCAGCTGTTTCATCCATCTAACCCCCATGATCTGATTGTGTGATCATAAATCAGCATTCCCATCATTACCTATTTCCCAGGTAACAACTGGTTACAAAAAGATCAATCTTTTGCTGGAAATACTTTCACTTAAATGATTCATAGGATCCTGTTTATTATGAGGAAATGTTTACATGCATTTGTGCAATTCATTTTGATTCATTGACTTTCATTTAGATTCAGAATGAAAATAAATGCTGGAATGAGCTGCAGAGGAGATGTTCCATTTTCTGGCCAGCCCTAGGGTTGCCATCAGTTATTCACAGTGATGCTTTATAACTTCTGGTAAATTTTTCTTACAATGCACTACAAATTTGATGGAGGTACCTGCAGTAAATAGAATGTGAAAGCAGGCACATTATGTGATTTCCCAGGAATGACACAAGAACAAGCTGCAAACAGAGCAGCCATGGACTCAACTGACACATGGCATGACCTCAGCTCAGACACAACAGTTAACAGATTTTAAGAGAGTAAGTCTTGATCACTCCAACTGAGTAGCTGGGTTCTGTTTAACATTATAATGGATTTACAGTCACCAGTGGGCTGGGAGGGGAAGGGATACGATATGTACTGGCATATACATAACACAGAGCTTAGAACGAGGCACCTGTAGGGCAGGACAGTCAGGAGTAGTTTCCCAGAGCATGTAACACTGGAGCAGCATAAAGTTGTAGTCCAAGGCCTTTAACTGGTCTGTTGCTAAGTATTCATGGAGCAGAGAGGCTCATCAGGTCAGATAGCGTGGATTTTTTTAGGGAAAGGGTGGGTTTCCTAATGCAAATTGTGATAGCAGTGGCATTTGTAAGGGGTGAGTGTTTTCTGGGCTTGGACACTGCTGTAGTATTTTAAGGTATGAAAGACATTCCAGGCAGCATTTGTCTATGATGTAGCTGCAGCCCCCAAGTGACTTTCTAAAAGATTTTGTTCAGCACAGTTTCCTCTGCTTATACAACTCTCTTCCACTTAACATGGATCCTCAGACTGTGCCTTTTCAAGATGGGGTTAAATATACAGAAAGAAACATAGCAGTCAGAGACAAAATATTAAAGTTTTCTCACAGTCTAAATAGGACTCAATTCATTGTTCCAATAACATCCCAGTTCTTGAAATTAAATTGTCAGAATGAGGTCCATCAGGGAGATTCAAAGGCATTTCGGCGTTTTGCTCCTACTGAGTTAGCCACCTGAATATCCTAAAAAAGCTGACCCCCTCTTCAAAAAAAGGAGCTTCATTAAGCTCTAAATGCAGTATGCAAATTGCCTTTATAATCTCTTCCTTTTTACTGACTGCTTTTGCATAATGTAACAACAGGGCTTTGAGATTCATGCTGTGCTGTTTCTGTTGGGCAGTCCATATACGTACCCACATTGCAGAAGAGTGATAAAGCTTTCTCTTTCCTCGTGTAAGATCAGATCGTTTAAGCAGCCACTGCCTGTCTTGTGAGGGGAAAAGGCAGTGTAGTCATAGTTTTGAATAAGAAATTACTCAGATTTTTTCCTTCCATCCACAATATGCAACTAGAGCATATCAAGTAAAAGATTCTCTTAGGAGAAAGAGTTAATAGCCATTTTGTCACAAAATGAAGTTTTAAAGTTAGTGATGTTTACAAAAAAGTTTATTTTAGCATAAACATTTTGAAATAAACTGTATGCAAATAAATGATCCTTTGGTTAAGGTTCATTTTCAGGAGCCTTTTTTAGGTCTTTCAGAACTAATGAATTACTGCCAAAAAGGCTAACATGCAGAAATAAAAAGGCATTTATATTCTGTATCAGGCTTTCCAAAGTCCACTGAAGTCAGTGGGGAGCAGCTACCCTGCTTCAGTGAACAGTATTTCAGATCTGAATGGAGAGCAGGCTTGGGAGAAAGGATTTCCTGTTTCTTTAAATGGGATCAATTTAATCCCTTCCCCACCACTCCCTTCTTGCTTTATAGGGGCCATTTGAGCTCAGTCCCAGGCAGTTTTGTCTCCACTGAAGCAATCTGTAGAGCAATTCATGAGTTACTCCTAAGAGGTAATCAGTTGGTTTTAAGATATTTGCAAGTTTCCTTTGGTGTATTCTGGCTTCCCATTCTTGCAGTGTTCTTAACCACGGTTGTGCTAGGGTGAATTAAACTAAAAAGGTGATTCCATCTCAGCTGACTGTTGGTTACCAAAAGGTTATCACTTGCTTGGGTATTGTTTACATCAGCTTTTCCATATTTTATAGACATGGGATATAAATGTGCAAGGTTAGTGTGATGTGGCTCCTGCTGTATACTCTTACAATACAATCAGGTGATCAGCAGGTGTATTATGCAGAACACTCTCTACCAGAATAAAGCCATAATTGAAATGGACATTGATGTCACTGAACAATTTATCTTCCTTAAAAGGGTTTTGCTTTACAAAAGAAGCTAATTTAGTCTGGGAAATTAAATTGACAGCCATGTGGGAACATTTGTCTAATTCACTTACAGAGTTGTATCATTAACCATGATTGTTTGATCAATATTTACAAAACAGTAGAATTTACTCTGTTGACAGATGTCAGAGTTCCTCTCCTCATTATGGAAAGTAGATTCTTTGTGGGTGACCTGCAACAACATCTACCTCCCCAGGGACTCAAAATGCTGATATGGTATTAATAGTGGATTTTGAAATGCATGATGCAGTCTTCTACAGTCTTTTAGTAGGCAGCTAAAACCAGGAAGAACTCTTCCTAAATCCATAATATTAGTATGGATACAAGATACAGAGGGTTTGTATCGTTACAGCATTGGATAAAACCTGGAGGATGCCCAACCTACTATATCTAACGGAAAAAAACAGCTATATATTTACTTCTATTCTCTGGTTACATGTGGATAGTAGCAAAGAGAGTGCTTCAGAGAAGGAACTACTTCTGCAATGACGTGTATTGCTAAGACTGTCTGTTCTCCCTCTTTAATTGTGCCATATTATTAGTCTTGTATCAGTTTTACTCTGCTTCCATCATGTCCATTTTGCTGCTTCAATTTGTAGAAACTGTTGTGAAATCCCTGTGGAAGCTTAACACACAGGACAGATGTATTGTAGACAAGTACAAGCAATTACTCAGATTAAAAAAATCCTACATGGTTATACTTAAATAATACAGAAAATATTTTTCTCTTCACCTTCAGAGCTTTGATTTAATTAAAGCTTTCCTTCATTCCTACAATTTATGTCATCATGTATTCATCTGTACCTGCTGTGAATCATGACTATAAATCACTTCAAATGGCTTAGCTGATCTCGGATCAGCATTCTCCTGTTTTTGGGAGAATCCTTTTTTATGAAGTGGCTAAAGTACATAGAAACTTCATCTGTTCCTCCCTTCTCAAACAAAATTCACTTAATAAGAAACTTTCTTTTTATCACAGCTTTAGGAAGTTCTTTGTCACTATCAACACTTCGGAATCTGGGTGCTGCCAAGAGATGGTGAGTACTGTATATTTCACCAGTAATCTCTTATTTTGTCAAATAACTTTATGTACAGGAGTTTTGAATACTTGCTACTAAAAATGTCTGTATTCATGGTGGAGTCTGCGATGCCACAGTTGGTACCTGTATTTGGATTCGGATGTGGCCATCCAGAGGAAGGAGCTTTGTTTGCTTCTGTGACAGAAGGTCAGACAGAAAGGTTGTCTCTGTTTCACTTGGTAAAAATCAGTATTGTTCCACTGAAGTGATTAGAACAATGATGATTTGGGGGCAGAGCAGTATACTTCTGTTTATCAAATAGCCTGATAGAAGAGAGAGCCCTGTTCAGACAACATGGGTTGTTTTTTTTTCTGTGAATCCTGCCTGTGTTCACTACTCTGTTTTTTAGCTTTCAAGTCAGTGGCTCAGACTTCACTGAATTAGCATGTGTGTAAAACTGGAGAAGTTTCTTTTGACATGGAAATTATTCCTGGTTTTCCGTGGCTACACTGGCATCAAATTTTTAGTCCTTGTTTCTCACAATGTTTGGGGCATCCTCTCTCTCCCTCTTCTCTTTCCCTCCCCCCCCTTTTAAGAAGGGATTTTCTTCTTATAAACTTTTCTGTGTCTTGCCCTAGTTTAAAAAGAGGTGCAGTTACTTCTGAATGACAAGCCACACAGGAACAGTTTTCTCCATTTTCCTTTTTTTCCCTCACTTGACTTGCCTTTTGCAGTTAAAATAATATATTTTCCACTTACATAACTTTATGTTCTTCTTAAACCAACATGTACAAATACATAAAACACAAGTAACTTGGCTAGCTTTCATTGACATTTAAAACCAGAAGCGTGACTGCATTAGGTAAAATATGTCTTTCTTTTCACTGTATTTCATTTTATTGCTTTTTTCTGTCATTGTAAATATTTTTTTAAAAGTATATACTAATTTACTGACCAAATATTATGGTGCTTTGAGATGTCTGACTATCACAGTAGCTGTAATATGTCTCCTATGAAGAGTTACACTGATTTATGTGAGCTATTGGTCTCTCTTGGGAGAGGGGAGAAGGGATAGATTGTGCTTTTGAATGGTATACGGTGATTTAGCTGATACCTGATCCCTGCCACGGCATTCACTGAGTATTTATCATGTAAATAGTAAGTGTCAGGTCTAATACAAGTATTCCATTGTATGCAAGGTGTGCCTGCCCTCTGCTCCAACTGCCTCTTTCTAATTAGTAAGTGAGAAGGTGAAGTGGAGCCAGGTTTCTGCCTGTTATTCATACTGTCGTGCTCAGCTGTTTCAGATCAGGAATTGAAAGCATAACTACTCTTTGCAGCCTGTTGAATCTAAGGACAGGATATCATGCCTAGCATGAAGGTGATCCTTTAATTCTGTTAACTGTCTAGTCTTTCATGTCTTTTGGGTTAAGTCATTCAGATTTCTAGAGTCAGTTGTTACGTAAGAATGCAACCGGTTTGTGCAGTTCTCTACTCAAATTCAATTTCTTTAAGTCAGTGCATTGTGAAGAATCGGCCCTAGGATTCCTAGGTAATGGGTTACTGCATACTTGAACTTGGGACTAAAGCTGTCAAATCGGTGCTTTTGAAATGCGTATTTCTTTGATTTCCTCCTATTCTTTGGTCCTGCCTGGAAAGTAGGAAAATAGAGACAGACGTGGTGATAGATTTGACAGCTGACCTATTACACTCCAAGAAAACGATACCATGATGGACCTTCTCTAATAAGAATTCAGAAGGTATTAATGTCACTCTCAATCTAACAAATGTTTGACCTTTATTATGGTCTTACAGAAATGATAGCTGCTCATGCTCACTCTTCAATTTTAAATGCATGCTAAAAAACCTTTAAATGTGGAAAGCCCACAGATTGAAGGCAAGTTCAAGAAATTGCTTCTGACTTCAGGCGTTTTAATTTATGAATGACAGAATAAGCTGGCTCATGCTGAAGGTGGCAATCTAAAGAACTGTTTCATAGAGCTACATAGGCAGCTTTCCCTTCTTTGTGAAGCTGTGTTACATGATTCTACAGATTTTCATAGGTGTACTATGAAACCAGAAGTTTAATCCCATTTTGTAAGTGATTAGGGCCAAAGTGTATTCCCAGAAAATTAAATGAGAATTCTCTGATGGAGTTCAAAAGAATTGGGAATTATCATCTGTCTAATATCTTTCAGAATAATTTATTAAAACTCTTTCAGTTTTTCCATTATTGCATTGCCAATTCTGCAAATTTGTGCATTGGGTTTCGGACTCTGGGGCAGAGGGGAAAAGCAGCTAAATAATGATTGAAATTCCAGTTATGTTAGCTTTATGCTTAATTCACATTGCTCCTAAAAGTAATTCAGTGCACAAGTTCATGTCGAGTGAGAGGAAATGGCCCTTGAGTTACAATAACCGTAACTTCAGCACAGCTGTGAAGATTGTAAATAATAATGTGTTTTCCCTCTTGATCACCAAAAGGACTTACATGATTTCAGCACTGATCTGCATTTCCTTTCATCTCGGGCTACTCAGTTTTGGAGTAGTCTTGATTCCTTAGTGGATTAAAATGTACAGTGAGATTTGCCACATTCGTACTTGTATCAAGGCAAGCCGTAGTGCCACTTCATGCTAAGTCTTGCATTGATTTCAGAGTGAACAGTGGATGGTGATTAATACAGTGATTTTCAATCAATTATTTATTGATTAATTGTTCTTAATTTGTAGGTGGAAATAATGCCAAGAGGTAGGCTAACTTCCTATGCCCACTAGAGGAGGCTGTGTAAGCACTGCTCAGCAGTAATGAAAACATCCCTGGGCTATCAGCTCTGCTTCCAGCACAAAACCATAGCACCATGCTGGCTACTCTGAGGAAACTAAACTTTATCCCAGCTGATAAGCCTGGAGTAGGACTGGGGAGAGATTTGACTACAATTTAATTCTTGAACCATAGGACAACCGCTTCAAGAATTGGAGTACACAGCACATGTCACTAGTGGACCAGTCTGATTGATTGTGGCCATCTCCAGAACACTTCCTTGGTCTAGTCCTGCATCCATGGAGATATACAAGATAAATACTTCTATACGAAGTTTACATTTGTACCCAGAACCATCTGTGGAAGTAAACTGGGTATATTAAAACAAGCCAGAGTACAGTACAGTTAGACAGTAGGTGATATGTCTGAACCATAGTAAGCTCCAAGTGCTTGTTCATTTAACCAGTAAAATTGCATCCACACTAGAAAGATTTCACGGTTTTAATTATGGTTTTGGATTAATTAAAGCAGTAAAACTTTCTAATGTAGATGAGCCCTTGTTCATCTCATTTCTTTGCTTCCAGCATGCAGCCTATTGGATTTGCAGTGGAATTTAGATGCCCTTATTTTATCATTTTACATAGAGCTTAGGGCTCATAATGACTTCATCCAGTCTTGTGTTAACTCTTGCCTTGCTATTTTCACTTCATGATTGCACACTTATTATAAACCAGCTCACACTATAGCTTCTCTTGCAATCACATTTTCTTGGGTTCTGTGGCTTTCAGGCATGGAGGGGTTTTATTAGCAAATTTGGTACAGTACAATCAGCATGACACTTGAAATGATCTTACTTATCCTCTGATTATGACCCCTAGATGGCTGCTATGCACACAGGTGCTCAGATACCTCTTCTGCAGTAACAGGATTTGCATTCTGTCCACACCAGCAGTTTTACTGAGGCGATGAATATGATGGATGGTCCTTACATGTAGGGCCAGTGGTGTCAGCATATTTATACAGCTTCTGGGTTTCAGTCTTTTTTTTTTTCTTTCCCCATTTGGCCCACATAGGGAGGTTCTGAAAAAGATAACAAGGGTCAGGTAGATCAAAGGTGAGAGTGCAAGATAGAGAAGAACAGTAATCTATGCTGTCTGTATATGTGAGGAGGTACTAGTAAAGGTATATGAAGTGGTAATGTATTGTGTATTTGCTTATCTTCAGTGGGCTGCTGTTTTCCATGTTTACCATCATACTTAAAGGCCCTGTCCAATTAGGAATATGGGAAACAACAGTTTTGCTGCACCCTGTTGTATCAGTGAGTAGCATAAAATAATTGTTCAGGTCACGGCCTGGTACTGAAGCAGTCTCTGTGCCTCTCTGGAAAGGCTTCCCATTTCCATAAGAGGCAGGCACTGGAGTTGGAATGGCAATCCCAAGAGTTCAAAGTTTATGATTAAGGTCTACAACTGGATTAAAATCAAAAAATCTTAAAATGCATAATTCTCTTTTGCTTGGACCTTTGGGACACATATTGTGCTAATTTTAAGTATTTTCTCTAGCATCATGAAAACTTTCCTTTCTTTAAAAAGGGAAGTTAATATTTTCATAAAATACTCTGCTTGGAGACTCAGTAAGTTACATGAGGCTTCCTCTTAGGTCACAAAACTGTGCAAATTATTGAAGCATTAAAATAGTTTTAAAAATTTGAACAGTAGTACTGTGAAGTACTACCAGTCACAGTAAGTATTTCTACATTTTAATGGTACAGACTGAGCTAGTTTGCAACCTGAAATCACTGGCCTAGCTCTATGCTTGCTTTTGTGCTGTGTGTCAGTGGAAGAGTGAAACACAACTCTGCCTTCTGTTAACGTGCTTGTACTAAAAACCTGTGGACTTCTTCAGAATGATATAATATGCATGTGCTGGTTCCTGGTATTAGTTCCTGAGGCTATATTGAGACACTGAAGTGTTTAATGTGTGCGTATGCTTGTCTGAGACTTGCTGAGAAATAAATGAGTAGTTTTGATCCTGGATGGTTATAGACCTTCACAGGGAAGTACTGTAGCCTTAATTTATGTTATGTTCATAGTTTAGTAACAGTTGCTGATTGTCACTCAGTAAAAACGCAAGGGAAAATAGAATTTAAATCATGTATTGATTATTAAAAAAAAACAAAAACAACAGCCAACCAAACTCTAAAAAATCAACACCACCAGCAGCAAACCCCTCTCCCTTGTAAATATGTTTGGATTTAAAAGACAGTGCATTAATTATTTATCCATCTATGCCTCACCAGACCCAGGAGAATCATAACTGATTTGCAGGATACAGCAGCTCAGGCCTTTTGCATCCTTGGGGAGCACCACAGATTTCTCCCAGGGAAAGAAGCAATCGCAGGAAGCACTCAGAGGCAAAGTCAAGCCTGTGAGCAGGCGGGTGAACCCAAACCGTATTCAGGTTTTTGTTCTGAATGGGCTCTCTCGGGTAGAAATGTATGTGGCTGATGTTGCTGGCAGGAGCTAAAGGTACTGCAGTATTGCAATTTTAGCCAGCAAAATTGAAGAGTAGCTCCAGCCAAGTCACTTCCACAAGCTCTGCAAAAATGTGCCAGAGATAGCCTTTAGCTTTTAATAGCAGAGCTCCCAATATTAATGATACACAGGATTAAAATGTGGGAAATCTTTCTGATTCCAAGAAGGTGGACAGTCTTGTATCAGCATATAATGATTTTGGAGGCTATTTTTAGTCTTCAGTTCATAAATAGAATGTGACAAAAGGTCAGTCTGGCACGTATGGCCCATTTACTGTTAAACCATACAAAGAACCTTGTCATAGCTGGGATTTATAATAACTGAAATCCAATGGATGAGTGGGTACAGAGAATTAACATTCATAATCTGAATGTTGCATTTGAATGTTATTGAAAACAATTATAATTATTTGAATCACTAAACTGTATTTGCATGTTTTGAGTTTTCCCTTTGGGATAGTTCTCTGATTTTCTAACATACGTCACTGGCTGGTAGATATTAGGCTGCAGTTAATAGCTTTGCATTACATGGCAACATTTTTTCAAGTACCTGAATGTAGAAGCAGCAAAAAACCCACATCATCGGTTGTAGCTGTGGTCAAATCAATACATTCATACAAAATAAGGAGAAAATGAATGTTGTTCTGTGAAAGCTCTAGTTAGAAAAATGTCTCTTATAAGAAGGAGCAGACTTAACAGTCTGCAGCAAAAACACAGAAGTGAAGAGCATTGTGACACTGTAAGGGACGTGAGGGATGTTGTCAAAATACCCTGTGTCCCTCTAAGGAGAAATAGGATTTACTCCATGATAATGCTCTTCTTCAGGAAATAGAATAACACCTGTAAATAGATAAACATCTAGGAGAGAACTGTCCAGGCACCAAAGTCTGAGTCAGAGTCAACCTTTTTATAACCATTTCTCTGCCTGCTGCAGAGGCTGGCAAAGCTCTGAGCTTCTGTGTACAGGACTATTCATGGCCAGTTGGTACTTGTGATTTCTGGGCTTGTTCTTCCAGGTGGAGGGGATGTAGCAAGCTACAAGACAGAGGGAGGACTGGAAAGGCTATTTGTGCTGCAGGCTGAGGTGACCTGGGTGAAAGCCTGGGAAGTGGCTGCTGGTAGAGGGGTCACCCTCCAGCTCTTGTGCAAAGTGAGCTTTGGGAACGTGAGACTGCAAAACAAAAAGCCATATGGGAGGACTAACTATGGGCATTACTGCTTCCCTTAACAGGCTCATTCCAAGAAATAGAACCAGTAACTGAAATACCAGCAACAGTTAAATATCAAAACCAGCATGAGCCAAAAGATGAAATACTGTGCAGCAGTGCTTGCTGTGAGGGAACAAACTGCTACAAATATCTTCATTTGTGCCTTGCCTTTCTTTTGCTGACATGTGTGACCGTTATGTCTTTTGACATATACTTTTTTGTTTGTCGTCTTTCTTTGAAGTTTCATGCAGTTTTTTTTAACACTGGGAACAGAATTGCTGCAGACAGAAAGGAAGCTCTGATAATCAGGCTGCTGTTTCAGAGGACAAACTCTTGAGCATCTCTTTGTAAGGACTTAGCAGGGTAGGCCTTGTAGCTGTAGTAGGAAACATCATTTGTTTCCTTAGTATTGTGATGGATGGTATCAACAGTGGGCTCCTCTAAACTAAGAAAACAGGTCTTTCTCATACTGCAATCATCAGAGCACTCCCAAGGTAGGACTCTGCTGCTTTAATTTAGACATCTGCAGGACAGACATCTCTAGCTCAGCTGGGCATATAGAGGCCTTTTATGGTCCATGGAGAGAAATAGGGAATGATTTGTCTTATTGTATAGTAAATGTCTGAAGTGCTATGCTAGTCATGCTGTAGAAATGCCTATGTCTCTCTAAGGACTATTAAGATGTTGTAGATAACTAGTTGAAGATCCTCGATTTTACTTGTCTATAGGCAGGTGAGATGAGACCCTTTTCACAGCCCTCAAGTAAAATGGTGAGACAACTGTTCTGCAGACAGCATCGAAGCCACGTGTGCCCAGGGGTTGCCATCTCAACACTGCCCCTTCCCACAATGTCCTTTCCTGTGTGTTCTGTTTCAGCTTCCCTGCATGTCACCTCCTCTGGGCCTGCTGCCTGCATGTGGTGTGGCTTTCAGTCTCCTTGAGATTCCCTGTGTGTAAGGAAATTGCTCGCTGTCCCTTCAGGGACTCTGTGTACCTGCTTTAACCTAATGATTTGTACACATATCTGAAGACCATGCATAGGGAGCCTCCAGAGGATGTGATCCAGTTTCCGGGATTTGATTGTGGTCAGTATAAATCTATCTACCAGGTTTTTAATAAATTCTGATGACTGCACAGTATTTAGCTGAAACCTAAACCAAGCAGAAAAGGCCCTCTTCCTTCTCATGGACTAGCTTGAGGCTACTGTTTCCATCTCAGTCTCAAGGTGTTTCTCTTAAGTTTGTTTATAGAGGAGACAAGTGCTGAGGTTGGTTTTCTGTTCCTCTGTACCACACAGCCATTTCCCTTAATGAGAACAGGATTCAAACTGTTCCACAGTCAAAATGAAGACTCAAGATAGAAATTATGGGCCAGATTAAGTTCTAATTTGCATTAAATTCTGGATGAAGTGCCCCACCTTCTCTTTTCACTCATACTAGCTCCATTTCAGTGTGGCTTTAGGGTTTCCTCTGTCCTGCTTTTGTGTTGTGGATTTGTTCCTTGATTGCAATGTGATTTCAATAATACCCGTAATTGCACAAGTTTCAGTAGCTAACGATGTTAATTGAGGAGCTGGACAGATGGCTCAGGCATCTGATATTAAGCTTACTGTGCTGAAATTATGTAGCCCTCAGGGTTTGAAGTGTTACCATGGGAATGCACTTCCAAACTGCTGGAAGCATTACACAGTGACACTCCAGCAAGGGCTGCTGTGATACTAGCTTTTAAGAGATCAAAAGAGGCAAGAAAGGGTCAGTTTAAAAAAACCCTAGAGAAATACTGTGATATCTTGGCATCTTCCAGTTAGCAGCTGTATAATCAACCAAAGGTTCTTTGCACATGCACTCCACTGAGAGCATCAAAATGATGATGAGCCTTTGTTTCTGGAATAAAGTAGAACTGTCATTTTATAACATCCATTGTAGACTTCAATTTGAAATAAAATCTTTCTGGTCTTGTGAACTCTCTGTTCATCTCTCTGGAAAGACTTCCCAGTGGCTTTCAGAAGAAGATGGTTTGTTAGCTAAGAATTGAGCTGCTATTCCAGTAAGATACATAATTGTTCAGATTTCTGTAGGTAACGGAACTGAGAAGTAGGAGAGATGGCTCAAGCATCTTGAATCTTGCAGTGTTGAAATGATGTAGACATGGGCCTCAGAGCAGCATACAGCTCCTCCTACTTTGTATGATTTTGGGCAAGTCCTTTTATTTCTTCATAGCAGAATAATTGAAATTCAAGCCAGTACATCTTACCCTATGATTTGAGCAGGCTGAGGACATGCTAGCTACTGTGCTGACAGAAGGAATTCCTTACATGGTTACATTCAAGAGCGTGTCCAGACAAGGGAGCAGAAGCTAAATGAGGGTCCCAAGCCCTTCTCCATTATGCTACACTGCCACAGCTGCTTCCATGGGGAAAACAAAGGATTTATGTGGTGTTGAGCGGCAAGTTTCAGAAGAGGGAATCACTGAAGTCTGTTCCTGCATGCTCTACCGCCTTTCCCTTCCACTTCTCACGTAAAGGACAATTTCTGCTCAGGGTACACTGAGCTGGGTGTCCCTTAATCCCTGTAAGGATGCTGTGTAGGCATAGTAAAGGTGGCAGCTGCTAATTTAGGAAAGGCACTTTGAGGCTCTGAAGATGTCCGTTATCAAGATCTGCAGTTATCTATTCATACTGATGCATCAAAGGGGTCTCATCCACTCTTTTCTCTGCTTTTGTTGGCTTTTTTTCCTTGTGTAGGTTTTCTGTGTTTTCATGGAGCTCTGTTGAAAGTTATCCAAGATGAATAGGTGTTTTTCTTTTGGTTACAGTAAGCTTTTGAGCCAGTCTGTAACTCATGTCTAAACTGCCTCCTTGTCTTTCCTTTAAATAATCTTATTGTGTGCAAATGTTGCCACTTAACCTTTCATACAATTTGTTCTGCAGAGGAAAAAATAATAAACATGGACCTAATGCTACTGATCAACTGGAAAACCTGCCAATGGCTTCAGTAGAAGGGTTTCTTGAGCAGAGAAATTATCTAATCTGATTCATGCCCATCACCATGGTAACTCTGCACTGCGTAGAAAATTACCTGTATCTGTAAAGGTGTTTGCACACACACTGGATTCTTCCCTCTTTTTTTTTTGTTGCCCCTTTATTTGTTTTATCTAAGGAATTCAGCATTTTTTCTCTGTCTTTGTGAAAGCTGTGTGAAATGGAAACCAGGCCTCTGTTTGCTTTGTTATGTAGACCAATTCCCTAGGGTAAATATATTTACCATTTATCATCTGTTCATATACATAAGGCATATATGTAGCTGAGTTGACTAACAGATAAAAAGTTTTTCTTCTTTTCTTTTTAACCTTTCAGCTGAAAAGACGCATAAATATAAATCCCATCTGCAGGTACAGCATCCTGAGTGCTGTGCATTTCCAAACCCCTCCAGCAGCTGTGCTTTATATTCCAGGTCACACAAAATTATTTTCCTTTACCAAATTACTGTGATGTATCACAAGAGTGCCTGGGTGTGATGTGCCATGTGAAATAGGCATCCAGCTCATGAGAAATGGGCATGACACAGCATCATTTCCAAATATTGTTGGTTTTTTTTTTTTAGCAGAAATTTTGAAGTTCTGTTTTTCTGAACTGGAGTAGACTTGTGGAAAGGCTGCACTGCATGGCATGAGGTGTACTCTTATCTCTCTGTTTCTAACAGTGGTTTTCAACAAGAATGGGCTGCCCATGAAGGTCACTGACTAATAAGCCTTTTGTCTATTTGACTGACATACTTTGTTGATGAAAATACAAGCAACAGGTAGGGAAAAAGAGAAAAATACAGATAGTGTCTATTCCATTTTCTCCTAAAATGTGGTTTTATTGTTGTTCTTTATCTTGTATTCGGTATTTTTCCATCATTGAGTGTATCTTTTAGAATCTGTACAGCTTATTTAGAGGGGAGCTGAGATACGCAGAAAATCTGTCTCTAGAATGTAATCTTCACAGTAATTGTCTGGTCATAGAAAAAGCCATGTTCTGTTGGTCTGCCTGCAACAGTGCCACATCTCTCACTTAGCCAATGCAATCCCTGTCGCTGGGATTTCAAAGAAGTGTTGTGACTGAGTGGCTTTAGGCAGGATGGGCAGCTGTGCTTGCCATTTTTTATTCTTCCTAAGTAGCAGTCCCTTTGCAGGACTTGTAGCTGGAAGCAAGTTTGGAAATTGTAAAATGAATCACGCTGGAGTAGAAAAGGAATATACAGCAGCAGTGCTTGAGGCAGGGGCCAGAATGTATGTGCTTCATTTTCACTGTGAAAAAAGTCCTTTGGTGGCCAAATGCATTTATGAATCAAGGTTGTAGACAAATCCTGACCCTCCTTAAATAAAACAGTAATGATTTCTGACTTGTGAAATATGACCCAACGGCATGATCATTTTCATTGCGGTTTTGTACTGCTCATAAAATATTATCCCTCATTCTGAACCCTGAAAATTAGTCCTGCTGAAATGAACCAAAACCCCATCACTGGCTGTTCTGTCCTTTAGGCCGTTTAGAGCACCGTATTCTTCTATTCATTTTCTTTGAGAGCATTGTGTGTTGCTTTGAGAGCATTGCGTGTTGTGGATTTTTCAGAAGCCTCCTCCATTGCCATACACAAAAGTGCCCATGCTCCAGATCTTACACCTTGTCTGAAGAGCAGTTTGAGGCAAAAAGTAATTATACATAAAAGACAGTATTTGTTCAACAGAACAACTCCTTGGTAAACTTTGAAGCTCATCCGCTTATTTTGTCTAACAGGCAAAACGTGTGATTAGACATAATGACATAGGTTGTTACAGGATAGTTATCAAAGATCTTCAAGAGTTTAAACCCCAGATGTCAAGTTTCTGTGAGTCTTTAAAAGCTCTTATGTGTTGACTTACTGATTTCAGCGCCCACATTTGAAAGTCCCACCAGGTGCCATCAGCATCTCTTAGTTGCAGGTGAAGATGCCTACATACTTTTGAAAGTTATAAATTTATACCAAGAAACGTCTGCCATACACTGCCATCTTCAACCCTGTAAAACAGTGACACTCCATTGAAATTAACAGACTTGAACATGGTTGAAATGTAGCCTGAGTTTAACTCCTTGATAAAGTAGGCCATTTTGGTCATACACTTGTATTTAAAACATTTGAGCAGCCACACTGTGGTTATTTGCTTCAGTAGAATGAAGTAATAAGAGGAGATAGTTTTGTATTGTGTAACAGCATAAGTTCCATCTATACTCTACTGGCCTTTGGTCAAAGCTCTATATTTCTTAAAATCTCTTTCCTAGCAAATAGCTAATGCGTACCTGAGAGGGGATGAGGCATGGAAGTGTGTCAGATTCTGTATTCACCACCCCAGTGAGGTAACTGCTACTCCTGACTCATCAGATAGGGTATTAAAATTTACTGGAGCCAGCAGCATAGGTCAGCCATGCCAACAAAGAAAGAAGGGAGCAGTTGGAAAACTGGGACTGAGAACTGGGACTCTGGAAGCTGTGTCATTGAATCGCAGGTCTTTGGAACCTACTTCTGGCATAGCACAGCCTTAGTGTCACATTTTGCTCAAGGCTGTACGTAAAGCTCAACTGTTGTCCCAAATTCCATGATAAAAATCAAACAGCGGTCTTAACTGAAGTATAGAAAGACTGTATAACTGTCTCTGCCAGATGCCTAGTGAAAATGCTGTTCCAGGATGCAGAAAGCCTATTTCTTTGGTTTTCTCGGTATTACAGTGATAGAAATTATAATGCAGCTGGATCATTAACTTCAACAATGTCAGCATGTTCTCACCATTGCATTTACATTAATTAGTCTACATATTATTTAACAGCACACTTCTCTTAGATGAGTTCACTAATGTACTTTTTGGCTTCCACTATTTAGAGTACCTCTGCTTCCAAAGTAAGCTATTAACTGCTAGAAAAGGTATGAAGATTTCTGGAAAGACACACCAATGTGTTCACATTTGAATAGGAGCACATAAAGACATTGAATGATAACGTCCCTGCAGAAATCTCTTGCTGCTTACTATGCAAGAGTCTTTGTTTCTACCTTGTGCAGGCAGGAAATAAAACAAAAAGTAGAATATCAAATCCAGAGGAGGAGTGGATGTTTATGGACCTGAGAAGTGAGATGAATGAATGGTTCCAGCCAGATTGTTTTGGCATAAATTCAGATACTGTTCACAGTCCAAAAAAGGAACAAAAAAATAGCTGAGTACAGATCCTTACAGCTGCCTGCTCTGCACTAAGCACTCAGGTTCCAAACAACTTCATTCGTTTCTTCTGCTGCATCTCTTCACGGCCAAACTTAGTCATGGAACTTGAGCTACACCATGTTTACCACAGGCTTAAAATACTGTATCTGTGGGGTCTTTATTTTAAATCTGTTTTCATAACTGTGAGAATTGAGAAGAGCCTCTTGGTGAGGAGATCACACATGGAATGTGATACTTTAGTTTTCACCTTACTTCTCTGCTGTCTTTAGCTGCAGAACTCCACCTGGTCCTGTGGGCTGGAAAAAGGATGCCTGAACTCCATTGTACTCTCAGTGGCTATGAAGTTGGTCTTGCAAATAACTTACAGTGCAACTAGAATAGAAAATGTGAAATGAGTCAGATAACTGAAGAATTTGGGGTCTTTGCAAGAAGTATATTGGGTTTGGGTTGTGAGGTTCCCATCCCACCCCCTACTTCCTTTTAAAAAGGAACAAAGAACTCCTGTGTTGTACATTGTGTGAGGTACATCTGACTGTAAAAAGGGGGAAATGTGCTATAAATTTAGAAGGAGAGTCCAAGGCAAAGAAATCTGAGAACCTCCATATCAGATTTATGGGGTAAGAAAAGGACAGACTTTTTAGTGAGGTAATTGTTTTTTGATTCACTAATATTTCTGTTTGTCAACTCTCCTGTTAGGTAGGCAGCATTAGCATGGAGAGAACTAGCCTGTTCTGAAGGCTGATGCATGGTTCGATAGGATGAAATACAGAGGTTAATCTTGACATGAGCAGGATTGTCTTTTAAATATGAATCTAAAGCCTTACTCTTCTAATACCCTTTTAAAATAACTTGAGACAAGAGGCAGCTGCCTATAATGGATGAGATAGTAAAACCCAAGCTTAAATACGAGAGCCCAGATTTAATGTATGTTACTGGCAATGAGATTAAGCAGATTTGACTAGAATTCCATTTAGGGCTGAACGTGAAACCTACTGATGTCATTTGTATGATCATGCTTTAGATAAAATAACTGCTAAGACCCCTTTACTCAGTGTGTTTTAGAAATCAGAGTTGCAAATAACTGATGCTTTGAATACAAGAAGCATGTAGACAAAGGGCCAAAAGTTCACTCATGAATGAATATCCATCAAATATGGTGACTTTAGGTAATAAAAGAGTGAATGAAGCAAGAACTTAGGGCTTCCCCTACCCATGAAATTGAATGTGTATTCAATAAGAATCAAATTTAAGCTGTTGTATTGATTCACTTAGTCCTGTAGACTGTAATCTTTTGATATTGATATTTTTAACTGTAGTTATATTAGAAAATGCAGGCTGAGGACTGGGTGAATTGCACAGGTGCCAGATACAATGAAAATGTTCATTGCAGAGTTACAGTGCCAACCATGAACAAGTCATGAACATGACATTATCAATTCAGTAAGTACTTCAGATATGACACACACACTTTTAAGTCTTGATGATGCTTTGGGAGAAAAAAATACGTAAGTTGTAACACTGGTGAAAAACAACTGTCTGAATATTTTATTGCCTGATCTCATTCAAGGCTTGTGAGATGCAGGGATGATGGCATCTTTTTCTAAGCCAAATAACTCTGTTCTTGGTCTTGGGTTGTTATATACTTTCCCAGGACAAAAAGCGCAGGATGTTACCCACTAGTCATGATACCAGGTGCAAAATTAATTGACTCATTAACCTTAATCAGCTTGTTTTACTGTGAAGGTCTCATGCTCTGAAGATGATGGCACCATTAGCTTACAGTCATAAATAAGCATTTACCACCCACTGCTTCAGGGCAAACTTGCCTTCAGTAACACTTAGAGGAATGTACTCTAGAGGAAATGTACTTAGAGGAAACTTTAGTGGTTTATTTGAAGAACAGAATACATGCAACCTCCTAGACACGCAGGTGCTGTTGAAGAGGTAACTCCATTTCCCCCAATATCTGCACGCTGTAAACTGCAATTTGTTCTGGTTCACCAGGAGAATATTAGTTTGATATTGTTGCCCAAATGTGACACTTTTTCCTATTATCTACTGGAGTATATAAAGGGAACTGTTTTTTCTTGATTATTGTTATTATTATGTTATCAACAAATTTGAGAAATAAGTTGAATGATTCATTCTAATCTCAGTACTGCAATATTGAGTACTCTTACATTATAAATATTCTTTGAGTTCAGCTTCTGTTAGTA